CGAGAGATGGTATCCAACTGTTTCGACTGATACGTGATCACTTGGATCGAAGCTTGTGTGTGGCGTGACTACGGCTCTGGTTTTTACTGTGGACATCTACGTCCTTCTCCAGGAAAGCATCGTCTCATTAAGTTTAACAGCAAAATGACTGGACGTTAAACAGAAACGAATGTTTCATAATTCGGACGATTGTCTGGGACGTCTAATATATTATCCAAAGATTATCTGACAACGCCACAAATTCCGCTTAAAATTTCAGGCTCAGAAAATGACAGAACGGAGCAATTGAAAATACAAAGAACGAACCGCCTCGCGATCAGTGGTAACAAAACTTATTTCACGGGTCACCAAAAGAAAGGCAATTCTTCGTATAAACAATTCGGTTCTTAGTTACTTCATTTTATGTGCGATTTTATAAGACTAATTTTATTGAGCAGATATTTATTATATATCACTCTACATTTTAATATCTCGAAACAAGAATGCTGAAGAAAATCATATATACCGAAGAGTAATACGTTCTTCGAAAATGATGGAAAGTTAAAACAGTCATATTTGGAAATGAAAGCAAGTCTCAATCACATTTATGAAGTTAAGTGGAAATTAAGTTTTCGGAATTGTCACTATCATTTCGTTCAAAACAACTTGTCTTCACGTCTCCTGTGTAAAAATCTACACCTTAAAACATGCAAAAGTACAATGCTAGCTGTGGTTTTGTATGAGTCTTGAACCTCATATCCCTCCTTAAGAAAAGAGTACAGGCATAAAGCGTCTGAGCAAAAGTGATAATAATATTTTGATGTAATAGAAAGAACGTGGCATACGCAAGGAGTAAATAGCATAACAAGACGCTTAATAAATTTTAGTATCTATCCATTTCTGTTGGAGTTATCAAACCAAGGAGGATGCGAGAGACGAATCATGCACGCGAGGGAGGGATACATGCGTACAAAACACAAGCAAAACACCTGACGGAAAGAGAATTTTTACGAACCTAGTCAGGGACACGAATGATCCTTAAATATGTAAGGTGTGGACTGGATTCAGCTCTCCGAGAATATGGTTCAGTGGCAGGCTATTGTGAGCACGGTGACGAACAATCAATTTACATAGAAGGTGTGAAACTGACTCTGCTCCGAGTTACTGTTACTGTTATGGGAGGCAGCGACCATAATATGCAAGGAATCTGTTCGCCCTTCAGAACCTCTGTCATATGTAAATGACATATGAAACAGGGAGTTTCTTTTATTCAAAGTAATTCCCCAACACAACTGGAAATATGTCGTTTATAGCAGTTGCAGTTTAAATTACACTCCTTACATGATTATACCCAATGTCCTTTGCAGGTGTTGTAGAGTAATCCCACAAGAGGGATTTCACTTTCCGTTGCGATTCGATTGTTGCGACCATTTGCATTAGTTTCGCTTTTACGATAAATTTCTACGTATACTGGCGAAGCACGGGCCAGAACTCACATTCTAAGTATCCTTACAGGCGAAGAGCCAGGGGAGTTTCGCAACGGGCCTTCCTGCTGCCACGCCGCTACAGCAAGACATGTTCGGCCTTGAAGCTGCTTATCGGGTCTATGAAAATGTTATTCGATTTGTTTATATGACTATCTTGCATTTGCAATGGTCCCCGTGTTATATAGGGTTTCCTTCCGTACTTGGTCGTTCGGAAAATTGCTGTTCGTGTAATTCTTGCATCACGATTTGATAGACGTCATGAACCTGATCCCAACCCCTGAAAATCAATATGGCAGTGCAGCGCACCGCTGCTGTTTTCACCTTTCCCCTTCGTTCTCGTCGGGTTCGTCCTATTTACGTGCATTCATGCCGTCCTTGATGACAAGCCATGAATGTGTGTCGCCATTACTCGGTCGCAGACCGCTTCTGCCATCTAACGTCGGAGAGAACGGTTACTTTACACACAACGTGATTCAGATAACAGCTATGCCTTGCGAGTTAAATGCAATTAGACATCAACACCCACCGAACTTCCACTTACATCCTGTGGCTACCACTGGCCAACGCCCACTGGCCCAACGTGGAAGTGCTTCTGAGGGTCCGTTTTTACGTAAAGCTTTGCGACATGGAGTAGGGTGACGTGCGAGGAAAGGCGAGAATAATGAAATATATGTACCTACCAGCTCACAGCGTCGCTGCAACATCGACGACGAATATGGCGACGACGTACCAACCCAGCCTCGTATCTCCCACTGGCATAGCTCGGCAGCCACGAAGCTCAGGCAGACAAACAGGAATTACGTCACTGGCAAGAGTCCTCGTATCAGCCGGCTTACAAGGCCTGCTGGCTGGCTGGCTGGCGTGTCAGTATTGATGGGATTGCAGCCTGCTTTCAGAATCGAAGAAAGACAACAATATAAAAAGGAACATTTACTCGCTCTTCAAAGTACAAGATAATTTCTTAGGCCTATCACCAATAACGATTTCAATTAGTTGTCAACAGATGACGTCCACCTTACTCCCCTACACCTGGCACAATCCACGCAGATGTCTTTCACAAGCCGCTACCCGGTGGTTTAATTATAGAATCCATCATAGAAATCTTCCCTTTAGATCTTGACAATAACTATGGTCCATGGAAGATGGCTCCAAATAGCCATATAAATGAGAGACCACTGTCAGACTTCGTTTTCAGGCATGTGGTAATCTATTCATCAGGTCTAGAAGTCACTCGTCAGTTGATTTGTTTTTCAGAACATCGTGAATTTTAAATGGACAATCGTCAGACAATGCAAACGGATATAAAAGTTTAATTCCTCCTGGTAAAACAGTTCTCTTATTTTCACTGTGGAATAACAAGGCATGGCTGCAGCTGCGTGACTTACCCGGAGCTTAGAATTATGGTACAACCTAACCGCAGCTTGCAGTAAAGCGAGCGACCTTCTACCGCTACGCCAATCCCCGAAGAAGAGCTCCAGATGGCGGTACAATCAATTCAACAATGACTCAGCTAATTCGTGGAGGTAACCAAAAACGGTTCTAGCAAAATTATCAGTTATCACTATAAGAATACAACTACGTTTACTAGAATCAGTGCATTTCTATGTTTACGATAAACTCGTTAAATACGGGCAGTGATATGAATAAATCTGAGAAAGTGTCGGCATATCACTAACATGCAACCTTCGGAATTCGTTTTCTGCTGTTAATAATCCATGGACAATTAGCTCGTGTGGCAGCAACGTTGCCGAGCGGCAGTAAGCGAAAACCCGCTTAATTGCAGCATTTATTATGAACGCGACTCTAAACGGCCTCCAAAAACATACACAGTGCTTCTCTTAAACAAGAAGTGAGACGCAGAAGTCATGTAATTTCCGAAATATCTGGGAATGGATGTAAACCTTGCCATCACAGAGACCACGCGTTCTAAGCTGAGTACTGCGCAATGCTTTTGCCGCTCAATTACTGGGATCTTGGGATCGAATCCCACTCGGTGTGTGGATGTATGTCAGCGTTTTGTTTGTGTGTTATTCTGTATCAAGTGGGAACTTCGTAGGGACAGTTACCTATCCAAGGAGTTCTAGAAATGTTCCTAAAGAGTCTGTATTTTCAGAAGTTAATTAGGACATAGAACGGGCAAGAGGTCCTAATCAGAAGATCGAGAGGCTGAGGTAAGATCGAACATGCCTCTGCAGTGTATGGGGAGGCAGCATGGGATCACTTCTCATATACTCCCAACGTAAGAACAATGATAGTATATGACCTTTGTAGGAAACTGGCCTAATCTTTCGGGTGTTATGAACAGACACAACGTGAGAGTATTTTTTCTGCGATGATAACACGTATTGTAAAATTATTATACAAACCTGCTGTCACTGTTCCTTTAAAATTCTTAAGCTTTTTAAAGCTACTGGTACCAAGGAGCAGACTTCTTGATAAACTAGCATTTGTTCGGTTAATAGGGGTATTCCACCCTTCTTAAAAAAAAAAATGCTTATTGCCGTATTAAAAGAACTGTCCCTGACCCGATCTTGAACCAGATAAATCCAATTTATATTTTTCCCTTCATATTTATTTCAGATCCATTTTAATATTATCCTTCCATCTCCTCCTCGGTCATCCATATAGCTTCTTCCTTTCAGTTTTCCGGCCAAAACTTCGTATGCATGTTCATACCTCCCATGTGTTGCATGTCACATCCATTCTCCTTAATTTTTTGGTGAATAATACAATATATGAAGACTCTCATTATGCATCTTTCTGCATCTCCCCCCCCCCTCACTGCTTCCCCCTAGGGCCAGGTACCCTCCGAATCACTTAGTTCAGAGCCACTCTTAATGTGGGAGACAAAGTTTCCTGCACGTACAAAACAACACGATAATATAAGACTTGAGGTTTTCACGGCGTTGGCTATGAAGACTGTGGCGCCATGTAGATTAGTGTGAACCGAGGTTTCGGAGGAATGTATCGCCTCCAACTTCAGGGCCGAAAATCCGTGAGCGAGGAACCAACGTGAACAGGTGGCTGCAGTCTGCGATACATTCTTCCGAAACGTCGATTCACACAAGATCTACAAGGCGCCAAGCCCCAGAATGCGGCATTCTTCATCAACACGATTGTAATTGTGCATATTTTGATCTTTATATTTTTAGATAAGAAATAGGAAGAAGATTGTGAACCGAGTTACTGGAAGCATTCCTCAAATTTAATCTGCTTTTAATTCCTTCTGAGTTTAATTTTGATTCGATACTGTAGTTCCAGGATATTTTAACTCATATTTTAGAATTATTAATTATATTTTTTTATACTGTAATCTATCCTGTACTCTGATGATGTGACATGAATGTACGAGTGCTTTGTTTTCTCTGTTTTCTCTTCCAGATTAACTTCCCTTGAAGCGGTCCTGTCTATTTCTTCCCGGCGCTTAATTTTTTTTATCAGAGTACTAGCGTCACCAACATAGAGCAGAGGCTGACGTGTTCCATTAAATTCCGACCTGTCGAGGATATCTTAGACCATTCTACTGATATATTCTATAGAGAAGCTGAGAGGGAACGGCAACAGCGTATAGCATTGCTTCTGGTCACCCTGAATAGGAAATGCATCTGATATGCGTTTACCTGTACGAACTGTATTACGGGTTTCGTTCCTACGCCTTTCAATTAGCCTAATTAGTTCCCTGGGTATGACAAATTCAATCAGAACAAGAGAATGGTCCTTTGAAACGGCGGAAAACCGAAGTTCTAAAAACGGCAATCATATTGTTACAGACTGTCAAATTCAAGAAAAATTCATTCGGTAGTAAAAATAGAGGAGCCGGGATAGTGCAGTCGGTATAGCGACTGGTTACGGGCTGGACGACCAAGAGGTCGGAGTTTGAGTCCTAGTAGGGTCAAGAATTTTCACTTCTTCGCCTGGTCCATACCGGCTCTGGGGCCCATCCAGCCTCCAGACTCCCTTACAACAGACTAACTTCTAAACTTGTCTCGGTTATAACTTCTAGGCACGGAACGCGTAGAGAACGCCGTTTCCAACAGTTCCTTTATTGTTGAGCGTGATACGTTGTCGTGGGAAACTCTTTGTTTCCTGGTCGCTACCTAGTAACAGGTCTACATGCTACATTGTTCTTCCTGAAGGTTATTCGTCCTTAATGGGTTACAGGCGTATCGCCAGTTCTCCGTTTCCGAGAGCTGTGCTTGTGATGTCTTTGCTCAGTCTCACCTTCCTCCCCGTGGCTCATATCTCACTGTGATTACTCTCCAACTGCTTCCTCTGCTCCCTCCTTAAGGTCGCTCGTTCCGAGCGGCTCCCTGATATGGTGCCAGTCGGTCCAAGTGTATCACCACATCCTTCTTTGCCGATCGCTGAGGGCAAAAGTTCAGAGAGTGGTCAATGCTCCTACACCCATGTCCCTTGAGCTGTTGTTAGTGGTCCCTTCTTTCGTTTCTGAGGAGGCCGATCCCTACACAATGATCAGTCACACATTTTTCAAATCCTGACCGTAGGTTCGACTATTTGCTTCATGATCTGCAGCACGAGAGCCTTCCGGGAAATCCTGCCGGATGTCTTCTCACTTCCTAGACGTAACTGCTTCTTTAAGCCTCCGTCCCTTATTCCATTGCTGCCTTCCTCAGGCGTACGTCTTCTCCTACAGAACGAGTGTCCTTTCGGGGCTCCCCTTGCAACATTGTCCCCACCTGGTCCCTGGTGACCGTGTCCCTTGCGCTGCGCAGGAATGCCACAGCGGATCATCTCTCTGTAGGCGGCGGCGGCTAACTTCTTCCGGAACCCACCATCTCCCTGGGTCCGTTTCTTCAGCTGTTGGCGGTACCGGTCCCCATACTGCTTCTTCAGTGCCCTGACAGCTTTCAATGTGGCCTCTTCTTTAGGGACGCCTCATGCACAGCTACAGACTATCCACGGGTCTACACGCCACAATACGTAAATAGTTGTAATTTGAAATTTGCAACAAGATATTTATTTTTGCTTCGATTTATGGCAAGCAGAGATCCTGAAGTGTCTGGGCTGCATTAACATATTACTGCAGCTCTTTATCGCTTCTACTCAATAGTCTTTTGGCGCTAACACTGTCAGTGAACACTTATCTGTAAGGATCATTTAAGTTGAAGTCCTCCAGGAGGAAAACCCTGGGAAGTGCCCAACTCCGTGGAAGCAGTTACCACCCGCAGAGCATGGGATTCTAGACGTTCTGTCCTTCATGTTATCTGGCAGCAATTTGACAGCTATGGATAACCTAGATGTGGGGTGACCTAAAAAAATCTTGAAATAAAATAATCTAAACAACAGTGTGGTGGACCACATTTGGTAATTAAAACAAGTTCAGTGCAAGAATTGCATAAGTGAACTGACTGGCCGGGTGACTGAGACCCCTGTTGTATTTTAAGCCATACCTACGCCTCCCTCATGAGTCAGGAAGGCTCAGCCGCTATAGCAACGAGCTAAGGGCTGGAGGCCGAGATTCGATTCCCAACAGAGACAAGATTCTCTCTACTCCACAGCGTCCAGGCCGGCTCTTGGGCCCACACAGCTTCCTATCCAACGGGTACAGGGGACAATTTCGTTGGGGGTAAAGAGGATTGGAGATGAAGTTGATCTCTCACCTCTATTTAATTTCAAAGTCAAGAATGATGGAGCTATACCTTCCCTTCCACATATGTCTTTATGGCATAATGCTTAATTAATTAAGCACAGGAGCAACTTTTGTTTTACCTTTACCTGCATTTTCCTCTGCGACTTTCTTGCTGGTCATAATGATTAAACAACATTAGAATGATTTAGCTTAATAGCAGTGTAACTGTGGAGCAAGAGAAACAGCCGTTGCTAGCGAAAGGTTTTGAAGAAACATTAGTTTCTAGGCAACTGTCGCGAAACTAACAATCGAACAACGTCCGTTGCTAGGCAGCAGATTCTTAAATGGTAACAATTGAACAAGCAACAGAGGAACGGTGTTTTCTCTGCTGTCCGTGCCGAGATGCAACCA